TACAAAGAAAGAATTTGTAATTATGACACCAAAGTCAGAAACCATAAAGGAAGGTATTGGTATATCTGAGTATATAAAAATTAAAGGGTAGGGGAGGCCAGGGGATTGTCAAGGGCGGGGGAAAAAAAAGGAGACATAAAATACTTCCATTGACTTATGTATTAGAAATATGTATGATTTAACTAGCTTTCTGAGATTAATAATGAAGAAATTATTATTTGAAATATTTGCTTCAAATAAAAATTGTTTACTCATCTGAAAAAAAAAATTAAGTAAAACAATCCAAAGTCTATGGGACACAGTGAAAGCAGTCCTGAGAGATAAATTCATAGCTCTACAGGCCTACATCAAAAAACAAAACAAAACAAAACAAAAACCAAGAAAAATGGTAATAAATTATCTAACTCTAGAACTTAAAGAATTAGACAGAGAGAAACCAGGAAAGCCCAGGGTGAATAGAAGGAAGGAGATAATAAAGATCAGAGCAGAAATAAATGACCAAAAAAACAATATAAAGATCAATGAAACCAAGAGCAGGTTAACTGAAATGATAAACAAGACTGATGAACCTCTAGCCAGGCTCACCAAGAAGCAAAGAGAGAGGACCCAAATAAACAAAATCAGAAATGAAAGAGGCAAAATAACACAGACCACACAGAAATACAAAGGGTTGTAAAAAAAATACTATGAACAACTCTATTCCAACAAACTAAGCAACCTGGAGGAAATAGACATAGTCCTAGAAAACTACAACCCTGAAAAACTCAATTGAGAATCAAAAAATCTGAATAGGCCAATAACTAAGGAGAAAATTGAAGCAGTCATCAAAAAACTTCCAGCAAGCAAAAGCCTGGGGCCAGATGGCTTCACAGGGAAATTTTACCAAACATTCAAAGAAGAATTAAAACCTATCCTTCTAAGGCTATTCTAAGAAATTAAAAAGGAAGGCACATTTCCAAGCTCTTTCTATGAAACCAGCATTACCCTAATCCCCAAACCAGATAAAGACACCACAAAGAAAGAGAATTACAGGCCAATATCCCTGATGCACATAGATGCTAAAATCCTCAACAAAATGCTAGCAAATCGGATCCAGCATTACATTGGAAAGATCATACACCATGACCATGTGGGATTTATTCCAGGGAAGCAAGGATGGTACAATATCTGCAAATCAATAAACGTGATACATCACATAAACAAATTGAGAGACAAAAATCACATAATCTTATCAATCTATGCAGAAAAGGCATCTGAAAAACCCAACACCCTTTCCTGATAAAAACTATTAGCAAAGCGGGAATAGAGGGATCATATCTCAACATAATAAAAGCCTTATATGACAAATCTACAACCAACATCATACTCAATGGGCAAAACTAAAACCATTTCCCCTAAAAACAGGAACAAGACAGGGATGCCTACTTTAAGAATTCCTGGTCGACATGGTACTGGAAATGCTACCCATAGCGATCAGACAAGAAGAAGAAATAAAAGGCATCCAAATTGGAAAAGAAGTAAAACTGTCATTATTCACAGGTGACATGATATTGTACACAGAAAACCCCAAAGACTACCAAAAATCTACTAGACTTAATAAATAAATTTGGCAATGTAGCAGGATACAAAATTAACACCCAGAACTGTATGGCTTTTTTATACACCAATAATGAACTCACAGAAAGAGAAATTAAAAAAAATC